ATGTCTATGTAATATTAGAATTTTCTGAGACAATGAATTTTGGTTTTTCATTTTTTCCCAGTAAGAGGTTTTTATTTAATAGAAATTTTGATAAAAATATCGTAATATATCGCCTTGCTTATAGTATCGTAATATATTGGGATATATCGTATCGTGACCCCTCTGTCATGATATGTATCGTATCGCCAAATTCTTGCCAATAAACAGCCCTAATTAAACGTGCACCTTTTTGGACTTCACAGGCCACCGTTGCTGAGCTAAATAAACTGAAAACATACCTGTTTCATCGTCTCCTGTTAACAGCTCTGCTGCCAGCATGTTGTGGGTCAGAACACACAGAGCACCTCGTCTCCTTTGGGTCACGGGACACATTTACTGACGCCGCTCCAAAATTAGAATATCATCACGGAACCACCATTAAATTAGCTGCTTCTGACAATTTAAATGCTATTGCAGTTGTACTATCAGCAAAAATGTGCGCATCAGAACTGCAGCATGCAGGACTTCCTTGTTTTCTTCTGGATCTGTGGCTCAGTCCCGCCCCCGTCCTTTTTTGTCCAATGGGAGCAATGATCGTCACACTCGTGGCTTTGTTTACAAGTTATAGTTCATTTGCAAAAAAGCACAATGTGAATGCAATCTGCACCAAATGAAAAAAAAATGTCCAATTTTGGTCCGGACCAAACAATTGGACCAAAGGACTTTCCTGGTCTGAATACACCCTTAAATGTGCTGTGGTCAGGATATTGGGAATGTTCTTCCAGAATCTTTATGTCAGCCTCTTTTATCCAATCAGAAATCAGTTATGATGCATTTGGGATTGTTGTTAAAGAACTTGAAAGTGTTTCAACCGTATAATGATGTGAAGTGAAGTTAAGGAATTTTAATGTAGCTGTCCTCCTTCATTATTCCATCCACTCTGTGCACCACTAACACAGCATGATGCTACCACCACCATGCTSAAGAGCTGATAGATATTATTTGAAAGTCTCGCCTTCGACCAAACATACTGTATTTCTTGTTATTGTGGCCAAAAGCTTGGTTTTTGTTTCATTTAATCATAAATGATGATCTGAGGACATTTTAATGTGTCACTTTACTTTTAAAGATGATTACTAACAACAGACTAAACAGGTCTTGTCAAAGTAAAAGACACTCTAGAACAGGGGTGTCCAATACTGGTCCTCCAGGGCCACCATCTTGCATGTTTTAGAGGTTTGTCTGCTTCAACACCCCTGATATGAATGATTGAGTGATTAATGGACTTCTGCAGAATCTGAAGGGTTAATTCAATCATTGAATCAGGTACTGGTGCAGGGAAATAATTGAAAAGTGCAGGATAGTGGTCCTACAGGACCAGGATTAGACACCCTTGTCCTACCCCATCTGAGCCTGCAGGAGTGGATTAGAGACAACCCAAACTTGCGTAGTTCTTGTTTTTTTTTTTTTTGTTTGTTTGTTTGTTTTTAATAATAAACTTTTCTGTTGTCTAATCATTTCCACCCTGGAAAAAGAACACTTCAAATATGTG